CCATTCTCCTCAAGCTCGGTCGTGAAACAAAATGGCGGTGCTTTGGGGCTATTTTCGAGGTTTCGTCGGGGCACAGAAAATCGAGGATTTAACCGAATCCAAAAACTTTTTCGCAGAGGTATTTCAAATAACATGTAGATTCGTTTTAGCCAGCAAAAAAATTTGGGGTTAGGTGCACTTTAAGGAGGGACTTGTCTTTCCTCCTCGCCGGTCGCTTGTGGCTACAATAGTGTGGTCTTCCTGTGCTTTATACAGTTATCCTCCAAATATCACTCAAACACCTCTGATCTGAACTGTAGATCATTAAGATTTTCTCCAAACACTCTATGACTTATTCTGATTTTGTATAACGCATGATTTCCACTGCATAGTATCTGCTGAAGTAATCAACGATGACTAAGACAGATTATCCTGAAGGTAATGGGCCTAACAAGTCGATGGCCAAATCTTTCCATCGGCCACTTGGTAATAGGGTTGAGTTGATTGGCTCTGGGTTTGCTGCACGGCTTACAAGCTTAAAGCCCACGACAGATTTTGCAAACTTCTCGGCTTCCTTGTCGATCCCAGGCCACCATACCTTTGATCGCTATCTCTGCTTCATACAGACAATTCCTGGGTGTACTGTAATGCCAAATTCCTCAGAAACCAAAATTATCCACGCAAACAATGTTGACAACCTCCACACTTTATCGAAGACGATGACACGATCGAAAGCCTCGACGGTTCTGGGTGAGACCAGCCCGTTTCTCGAAAGCCCCGGGCAATTTTCATGCCCATAAAGCCATTTTTCGTTCATCTGTATCCAAAAACAAAGAGATGTATGCGCCTGAAACTTCTTGTATGAAAGGAACATCTGTTCATATTTAGAATATGTGAATAAAACAGCTCTGTAATCAAAAATTTTAAGATTTTGCTACGGCTTTCCGGGTGCGACATCTTTTGGGGACTTTCGAGAAACGGGCCCCAGAACAAACGCCCTGGTAGGAAGATAATGAGCAACAATAGCGTGGTGAGCGAGTAGAAAGAATAACTCAGACTGTGTCAACCTACCCCTAGCCTTCTTTTTGTCGGCATTTTGTTTCTCGTTGTCGAGGCAACAAACAGCTTGTTAACCGTTCGTGTAAACGGTTAGGAATGCGAATATCCCTTCAGTGTAAATGCTTACGAATTCGAATACTCTAAAATTAAGGAATGCGGAAACATTAACGAATCCGGAAAAATCTCTTCTAGTGTAAACATAATCGCAATTTCTTCAATGGAATACTCCTTGCAGAGCCAAATAACTTCTTATCTTCTTTTAAAGGTGAATATTATAAGGGAAAAAAAATGTAGGAAAAGTTATTTTTTGTCTCCAAAAAAGTAGCCGCTGTTCATCAATGCGGCCTTATTCCGACGGTGCAGTTTTGTTCCTCACGGCCGATTAGTTGTAGACAGTCAGAGCCATCAGTGAGTGACATTAACGGTAGTTTATTTAGTCTTAGTAGTTTTAAATGCTTCATTTATGTTTTCGTGTACACTCAACAGAAACCAAAAGCGCATCTTCAGAAACCAAAAGCACATCTTCGATGTATATGAAAATCGTATATGGTTTGGTTGGATTACTCATAGTTGTGATCGCTTCTGTTGCCTGCTGTATCGTCTTCAAAAGGTTAGCACTGTAATATAATAACGTCCCAATAAGACGTAGCAAAGACTGTAAAAGGACATTCCGAAACTCTTTCTTTTTGCTAGTAAAACTCAGCTTGGAGAAAGGTCTTTAAAATACAGGTATGTGAGAATGGAAACATAAGTGGGACCTGTTATTGTTGATTGCTTTAGGTCAGAGGGTTTCATAAATAAGGGTCGTGACGTGTTCGGTCTCTTGTGCTATCCTTAAGCTTCAGTACCTATAAAGCCACTAACAAGGCTCGTAATTTTGGATCGTCTGAGTTTTTGCATGGGTACGGATTTATCTAGTTTATAAAACCAATCATCTTCATTCATACTGGAAGTCTATCCTATAAACAGAATGTTGGGTAGCTGTAACGTGCTCTAACATTTTGGACGTGTGGGGACTCTCCCTCAAGAGCTGGCTTCTGTGCATCCGCTCTACAGATTTCCAGTGAACAACAAGTCGCCTGACAGATATTTGCACCGTTAAGTTACCTCATTGAGTTAAGCTTTAGTGTTAGATCTATCCGACAACATGAAATAAAACTAAGATTGCTGCCTGTTTGTTATTTTGCTCTCCGTACGATTGAAATAGATGGCGCCATCGAAAGGAAGCGAGGACAATTCAAGCGCCAATAAAGGATGGATCTGAGATCAGGGTAAACGAAGGTAATTCAGGCGAGCAATCCTCTGGAATAAAACGACGACATTGCAATTAAATCATGTTTTTAATTTTCCTGCTAGGGTGATTTCTACTTTGGCGTCAAATGTAATTCGTCATTCGCATTTACTTTGGTTTTACATTGGTATGCATTAGGTCTTAGAAGTAGGACCAAAGCACACGTTACAATTGTGTAAAGTTGCCTGTTTTACTTTTCTGGAGGTTTTGGTCATAAAGATGAGAATTATTTTTACTTTCCCCAACTTAGGCTCAAGTCATCAGGATGACAAAGAGCGAGCGACAAACGTTACCCACACACCTCTCATTCGAATGAGTCTCGCTCTTATAGCAGAGCTTCTGCACGCCGAAGTCGAGCCAGCGGAGCCCCATGCCTTAGAAAATTTGGTAACCCATTGATTTCAAAAATTTTGGATGTCACGTGACTGTCCGTAAGTCCGTACGCCAAGCCCAATACCTTGAAAAATAAGACAGTAGCACCCTTACAATAGATACATCTGTGTCATTGGACTTCCATATATATTATGCTTAATTGTTAGCTGTCAAAACAAGGTATCCGCTGACCAGTATCCCATGGCCATATAGCGGGCTCAGGTTTAGTGCTCATCGGTACTTAAAAATCAAAGATCTCCAATATTCTTCAAAGGAGTAATTTTAGTTTAATTCCAAAAGCCAAATCTTTATCATTCTAGTAGCTTACCGATGTTTCTAAAACGTGTTTGTTATACCATGCTAAAAGATTCCAGAATATTCTTACATGTCGAAATGAAAAATTTATCCCTAAATAACCAAAGCTTGGACAATCTCCCTATTTGGTTCCTCCTCTATAGATATTCTAAAGCAACCCGTATCTGAAGGCCAAAATTATGATGACGTCATTTGGGATGTTTTTGAACTTAACCGTGACCAGATAACGTTGGTAAGAATACTGGGTACTGGTAATTTTGGTCAAGTTTCCAAAGCAACATTTGGAGATTCGCATTTGGAGGTAGCAGTCAAGTCCCTAAAAGGTATTGTTGTTATTTCCGTCACAATAGCTTTCTTTTCAGTAAGGATTTAGTTATTCATAAACAAGCAAAAACTAACGAGAAAACCCGCCCTTTCGGATTCTTCCTGACGTCATTGTTAACTCAATGAAAAAATAAAGAACACAAATTATGCAAGTTAGTGAGGGTGTCAAAAAGAAGTCGTAATGTATAACTGCTTTACTATAATCTTAAATTTTCGTTTACTGGCAATATGGGTCCAATTTTGAAGAGTAGGGAAAAATATACCAAAGGAAAAACTTCTCGCCATGTATGTTTACATTATTAGCTCAAGACATTCAAACAAAGTGTACGTTTGACCTATGTTAAAGATGTTATTGTAACAGGTTTTGTCTTACAGACCCTATAATTTCTTCACTTGTAAAACGTATCCAAGTGTAAGCTCAATGTTATATGCCAACGTTATTGGCGTAACTGATAGAATGTATCCCTGCTTGCACTACCTTTTTCAATCTATCATAGAAACCGCCCAGCAGAAGGGCATACAGGACATGCTCATTGAATTAGAGGTTATGAAATCGATGCAGCCTCATCCCCATGTTGTCAGACTTATTGGTTGCTGTACGGAAAAAGGTATTGCTTTGATTAAAACGATGAACTTGCAATTTCTCTTGTTGCAATTTGTTTAAACTGAAAAAAAACTATCACTTTTTTTTTTAAGAAGAATTAACCGAAGACATATGATCCAGGGCATTCACGTTGTTTATTTAATTTTAACGAGAACTATAGTTACTACTAACCGTTCACCAAACGAACCCGCTTGAAGGGATCTTTGACTTTTGGTGAAATAGTTTTGTCCATTCGAGAAAGCAAGAGTAGCGTAAGAAATGGATTCTAGAATTTTCAAATATAATATAGTTTCAAAGGGTTGTTTAGCCGTTTTACTGCAGCCGAAGTTTGTAGTTATAATAATACCATAAAAGTATATTGGTAGACTAAAAAGTCGTTGCTGATGCGTGACACTTGGTTAAAAACGATTGAAGCGATACTAGATGTATAAATATC